TCCATTTGAAAAAGTTAAAAGTTTCTTTAAGTAGATAATCCCGAATATGGTCAGACTGTTCAGTAGTAACATCTGTTATATAGTCATACAAATTTTAAACGTTGAATATTCCAGAAATATTTTGAAAAAACTAAAATATTCTATCGCGAGTTAATAAAATACCATTGTAAATTTCTGTCAAACTCGTTTCCATTGTAAAAATATGTGTGAACAATCTTTGGATAAAAATTAAATTTCTCGTAACTTTAAACACGACGAGAAAAGGTTCGAAATTATAAATTCTAAAAAGCAAACAATTGGATGAGGGACCGATTGGATAATCATTTAACTAAAAATACGATCGGTTTTACGTATTTTATCCGAGGACGGATAATCCATACAATAATCGTGGGCTATTAAATGGTTCACATCGTTCATTTTGTACACCCTTCTCCCCCTCCTCCTCCCTCCCCTTCTCCTCTTTCTCCTACTCGTTTTTCCTATACGTTTTCTCTCTCTTGCGATAAATGAAAAATTCAACGATAATGAAAGAGCTATGTCGTCGCGCTTCTGACACGATAATGATCGAGTACTCGGGTAATGAAATATTTTATTAAACGATTGTACCAGCTCTCTCTCTCTCTCTCTCTTTCTCTCTTTATACTAGTCTCTTTCATTAATAAACGAAATCGAAAATTACCTGGATATTGACGATAATGATGATGATGATGATGATGCCGATATCTTTCATTATGATCATCATATTATAGTTTTCAATTCTCATATTAACGATCCAACGAGAAATACCATTAATTGTATTACCTGACTTCAACGTGGTTGTTGTCTTAATAATTTTAATAATATAATTCTGACTTTTAATATAATTTCAAAGAAAAAATATTGATGTAACAAAACAACAGAAAATTGAAATAACATTCGGAAATTTTCTTTTTTTTTTTTTTTTTGATTAAAATTATTTGTTTTGTTTATCGTAATAGAACGTTGTACGTATCAGCGTGAAACGGTCAAAGCTTTGAAATTACAGAGACATTGTGAAAGCACGTATCTCAGGAGAAGGATCAAGAGCAATAATAACACGAATCCCTTTAAACAGAAGTCAAGTGCAAAGCGTATAACAGATCGTGTTTCTGTTTCTCTGTTCTCTCTCTCTCTCTCTCTCTCTCTCTCTCTCTCTGTGTCAGTCTGTCTGTCTTTCTGTCTGTCTGTCTGTCTATCTGCTTATCTATTTCTATCTTCCTTTATCCTATATTCCTTTCCCTTTTGTTTCCAAGTCAAACGATCTCGGCTTTCTAGTACCGTCAGCCATTGCAAGGTTTAACCTTTTGAACGAATCAAAGTTTCCTAGCTCAGGATATCGAGCCACCTCGAGGGTAATCCAGCGTAAATAATGCAGGTCGCTCACGTGACGTGACTTTCGGACGTGTCGAACGTTCAACGCGAGAAAACTACTTGCTAGAAGAAGTAGTAGTTGAGCCCTTGGCTAAAAGTTTTCGACAAAAGCCAGCCAACCACCACCACCACCACTACTACCATCAATAAACTTACTGTTACCAACCAGTTTTTGGACTGTTCACCTATCGTCACCTATTCTTATTCTTACGTATATATACACGTATCTGTGTGTCTATATAAATGCACACATATATAGAAAAAGAAAAATAGAAATAGAAATATAAAGAAAAATCTTCCTTGAAATTCAACAGTTACGAACATTCAAAGAGAAAGAACAAAGAAACGTCTATATTCTCGTCATCTACGTCGACTTATCTACGATTTCGTTCCGGATACGAAAGTTTTATGGCTTCGTGCCGACCACCGAAGACTAAAAGCAACCGAAGAGGGTGGAATAAAAGGGGGGTAAGCAAGAGGGAGGGAGAAGGTGGATGGATACTCGAGAAAACGATAGTTGCACAAGTAAGAAAAATAAAGGAACGAAAAGCAGAAGACAAAAATGGGCTGAGGCGGAAGGGTAGAAATGATAGGGATGGGGGGAGGGTTGGTAAGGGTTTAAGGTTGAAGGTAGAAGAGAACTCTAGCGTGGTAAGGGAATGACTCGACCTGAATATTTTCACAACGAAGTTTTCTTTGAATACGCCATGCAACAACGGTGGCACGACGACACGAGGCCCCCTTCGGCATACGAAACACCGTGGGATTATACCGGTGAATCGGAAAGACACCGAGAAAGAAAAGGAAAAAGGAGGTCACGTGCCGACGTTTGACGGCAACCTGGTAGAATAAATTCCAAAGTTTTTTAAACCTTTTTCGAAAAGAAACATTGGAGAATACACGCTCATCAACTAAACGTTGCATATCTTTCGCTTTATTATGTTTTTCTTTTTATATTTTTTTTTTTTAAATAATCGTTTGAAAATTGACATCTCGCGTTTTATTAAAAAATCATATTGATATAATGAAACGAGTTTTTATATTTCTTGTAATTACTTTTATAGTCGTGAAAGAAAAAAAAAACTTATAATTCAATTTGGTTTGCAACAATTTCAATGTAAAAATTGAAAATCGTTTAATCGATTTTAGTCGTGATATGCTTAACCTTTTTAAAAGTAGTTACGCGTATAGGAGGTAAGAAAAATAAAAAGTTAAAAACAACCTTGAGGAGAGTGGGGAGAAAAAATGATACTTAAAGTTAAAAATGTAATCGTAACTTCTGTTACGTTTTTGTATCGCATTGAAAACGCAAGGAGAACGAAAGAAAAGTTTTGCGATCACCGATCCTGAGAAAATCTCTCGTCGTCTTTTTTATTACCTGCTCGGTAAGGATCTCGTTAGAAGCAGTTAAGTATTCTCAAGGGAGAGAAAGAAAGAAAATACTTCGCTTTTTATTACGAACTTTTCAACGAACGTATGATCGAGGTTGACTATGAGCACGAATTTGAACTTTTAATAATAATTTGAAAACTAACAAAATTATAATAGAGAGAATGTGGGTAAAGAAAAATGTACAATTTCGTTACGTGACCACCACGAATAAATCGAGAAATTATAATTCGAATGATTAAACAAAAAAGAAATAAAGTGATTTTTAAATTTGCGATGCAAAATGAATTTCAACAAGACTCAATTTCTCCACCTACGCGTTTCGGTTTTTAACAGATCGGACAAAAAAATGTAACTACTATGATTTTTCCTCTTTGGTATTTTTCTACCGAACGAAAAACGATTTTTGAAAATTCTCTTTTGACAAGAAAATCATGTTACATCAATCGAAATTATTAAACAGTATTATCGAAACAATACACGAATTGAAAATACAATTCCCATGCTTTAAGTGGAAAAGAAAAACTAATTATTATCGAAACAGGTGATTAAGCAATATACAAATTTTTTAAACAAATTACGCGCGAATACAAAAAGTATCGTAACGACGATTGAAATGAAAAAAAAACAAAAAGAGAAAGCAAGAAAGACAAACAAGGAATAAAACAAAACCACCGGGATTTTTTTTTCAATCCCATTCCATACGTGATTCGCCGTGAGTTTGTTAGTACATGCATGCATGCATAGATGCATACATACATGCATAGATACATGCATAGATGCATACATACATGCATAGATACATGCATGCACACATACGGACATATACCGTAAAATATTCGTAGGATTTTTTCGAAAGAACGAATCTCGGTCTCGTTGATGGGGATATTTTCGAACACCTAGTTTTTTTTCCCGTGAGATCAACCCCACAGAATTTTTTTCCATCAGATAAATAAATTCAAAAATGAAAGTACCACGGTGAAAACGTGTGTGCTCAGGAACTGAATTTAAAGATTCAACGAGAGAAAAGAAAGAAAAGATCAATGCAATCGAAGAGTTTGTTCGTTGTTAGAAAAGAAAAACCCTTTTCCTAGTAGTCCTTCGATAAACTGGCTGGCAGGCCATTTTCTTCGAGTAGTATACCCGCGAATGACGACATTTCTTCGGTAAATGCTACGTAACTTGAACGAAATGGAAACTGAAATGAAACGGAAGCTTCGAATAGCAATCGAGTGAGCCGTCAATGGCAGAAATCTTTTCTACTACCCCCATTCTACCATATTCTGATTATTTATTCTAACTTTACTAACGTGGAGTATGTGTGTGACTGCACTCAGACGACTTTTCATCCGCTTTTATAAACTAAAAAATAGACGAATGTTAAAAAGAAAAAAAAGAAAGAGCAAAATAGTTCCAAAAAATATAAAAATAGGAAAACAAATAATGATAGAAGCTCAAAAGTAGCACCATTGAAAGGAAGTGAAGGGTCAATTATCGATTTTTCGATAGAGTGGAAAATCACATTGGTATATACACTAAATATATATAATATATATATATGTGTGTGTGTGTGTTTGAGAGGAATTATTTTAATCTTCCGTTTCTCCTTCAAAGCCTCTCAAGCTTCGGCCTGTTATCAGTACGGAACAGAACGTCTTACGTTTACTCATCACGATCCTACAATTAGCTTGAAATACTCTTATTAGAGAATATAGAATATTTAATACAGAGAGAAATATAAGAGAGATAGACTTATAAAAGATAACTTATTTACAAGCTAGAATCCTAAGTATAATAAATTATTAAAAGTCAGTCTTATGTCATATTATTCTTATAATCATATATTTTAACACAAAAAGATCTAATTAAATTTAACATCCTTTAGATAATGCTATTATCTAAAAATAATATATCTATTTTTATTTTTAATTAATAACTTTATAATATTTCTTAATTCTTAAACAATTTTATATTATTTATTTTTTGATTTTATATTTAGAAACCTTAATAATATTAAATAATAAATATTAATTAATATTTATCTTTAACATAAGCAGTTGTACACGTACAATTTTCATTCTAATGTATACAAAATGTTTTTTGTTTCTATTTTTAATAAATGTATCGATAAAAAATAGAAAGAAAACGACTATAAAAAAGGTTTAAAAAAAAAATAATATATTAAATGGTAAAATAAATTGAATAATGTAAAAAGATCGTACCGTTGAGCACGTGGACAGATACGACAGTGACCGCAGCTACGTCGGCCAATGCGCAACTATAGTTCCCACTGTCTTTTTTATTCGCATTGGCAATGTAGAGCCTCGAAACAGCTCCTGCCGACCCCATGTCGGTTTTCACACTGAAACAGAAAAGCAGAAAGCACGTAGTGGAACGTCTTCTAAAGAATTTCTTATCGTTCCGAATGAACGTGAGTGAACGTGCGAAGAAAAACTCCTATCGTGTTATATACATACGTGTGTATGTACTCGTATGTATGTATGGATGTGTTGTTCATTCGGTGAATAAGAAGGAGTATAAGGATACAGGGTGAACATAGAAAAGATAGAAAGATAGAAAAAAACGAGAGAGAGAGAGAGAAGGAAGGATATAAAGAGAGACGTGGTAAAAGGGAAAGAGGGCGTAAATCAAGTTGCCCTTTTCCTCTCGATTCTGTCGTCGACGGATCGACCATTTCTCAAGAGTCTACTTTTCTCTCTCTCTCTCTCTCTCTCGCTCTCTTTTTTTTCTGAGTTTTTTTTTCCTTTTACTTTTGCACAACTCGAACTATGGGACAAAAAAGAAAGAAAAAGGAACGAAACGAAATAAAAGAGGAAAAGTTTTAGGGGAATCACGTGCGAGACTCGTGTTATGATCCTAGGATTTCTATTTTTGTTACAAAAAATATCACGGTATACAATGTATCCGATTTTTATCTTCATCTATAAAATATAAATAAGAGAGAGAGAGAGAGAGAGAGATTTATACTTTATATATATAAAATAATACAAGCGTGTAAATTATTTTGACACGATCAGTATTATGAGATAAAGATGAAAAATAAACTTTAACACATTTTACAAACAAAAATATTTTCAAGTATTGAGATTAGAATGTTTACTTTAATAATTTATGTGTTTTATAATTTGCGTTCCTAAATAAAAAGATTTTATTTTATTAAAGATTTAACACTTCGTTGATCGGTTACGAGTAAACTCGTGATGCGCTTTATTTAGCATGACACATTATTTAAAAAAAAAAAAAACAAAGAGAAAATAGATATTACATTATTAAAAACTGTTGTGTATTATTGTTAAACTGTTTATCATACGAAAAAAAAAAATATTAAAGTTTAATAATTGAAATTTATTAAAAATTACTTGTATTGTTTTACTTTTCAATCCAATTACAACAAAACATAAATTGTTTTTAAAATTGCTGGTCAACAATTTATTAACAATATTTTACCTTCAATTGGAATAATGAAAAATGATTACTTAACTCTAATATTGGTATTGATTATAAGTAAATAAAATGGATAGTTTAAAATCGATGATCAACCATCGTTTTTAGTTTCATTTATGTTTAAGAAACTCTGAAGTATATCAAAAGTAAAAAAAAGGAAGATAGAAAGAGAGAAGTTTTCAAAAAGGAAATTCTTCTTATAATCCTTTGCACGATAAACGTTCTCCAATGAAAACGCGCAAACTCTCTTGCATTGAGGTTAGAAGGAATAGAGAGGAGACCATTAAGCAAGAACTACGGTAAAGTCCGTTTTGATATGATGCGGAAGGAAAGCGGATTTTAAGGACCGTGAGAGAGAGAGAGAGAGAGAGAGAGCTAAGGTTAAGGAGGTCGGCAAAAGGATGATATCCAGAATGCTGCAGGCTATGTGCAAGAGAGAGAGAGAGAGAGAGAGAAAAGGAAGAATGAAGAAGAGAAGGAAAATGAGGCTTCTGTCGGTGGATTCCTCACGTTGGACTGGTTTAAGAATTCATTCGGATTGCCGAGATGCCAGGACGCATCCTGAGCCACAGGATGCGTCCTTGGTCTCGGTTCTACTCATCCCTACGACTACACTGATGGAGCCCTTTGAGAATAACGCATCAAGAACTTCACCACTCTTCTCTAACGGGAGTAATGCCACACACTGCAAAAGATGCCATAAGAGCGTTAAAAGCACTTGTTGCCACCCTACCCCCTCTTTAACGTTACTCCTATATTTCTCTCTCTCTCTCTCTCTCTCTCTCTCTCTATCTTTTATTCTTTCTTTTTCTATACTTAACTGGTCTAATAGAAAATCTTCTTTTATCGAAAGGACAAAAAAGAAAAAAATCCATTAATCCTATCGTTCAAATATTTGTCATTATGATGGATAGCAAAATGAAATATAAAAAAAAAAATTGAGATCATTAAAATTTCTCAATTGTTCCACTCTCAAGGAATAATAATAATTCATTTACAATCTGTATTTCATTCTTGAAATTCTATGTTGTAAAAATGATTGTAAATGATAGAAATAAAATATAAAATTAGATAAAACAGGCTAAATAGACAAAGAGTGAACAACAACAACAACAACAAAGTGAACGAGAGAAAGAAATTAAGTTTAATAGAGTAAACACATCACGTATAAAACTTCAAAATGACATGACAACGATAGATGTCATGGTAACGCGTATTATCCAGCGTTGAAATTATTGGACAACTGTGGAGGGTTGGGCCATCGACGAAATCTGTCGATGCGATATTTCACCAGGAGGAAACTCAAAATCGCGGAAAGGGAAGATAACAGTCAAACTAACGGGCTACTCGATATAACACTTCTCTCTCTCTCTCTCTCTCTCTCTCTCTCTATCTATCTCTCTCTCTCATTCTCTTTTTTCTTTTTAGGTATAGGTGCACAAAATATACGGATATTTACATTGACATTTTGTGTTCACATAACATGGACAAAAGCTTTAGTGATGGTGGTGGTGTGAGTGTAATCTGAGTACTCCGCGGGAAAGCACACGCGACATCGAACCGCGTCACATTTCGACTCGAGCCAAAATTTCCTCACGATTGGCATCCCTACGACAGGTACGCACGTACATGTACACACACAAATCTACATACGTAACGTCGCTTGCCATTTCGAACCAACGAACATTGCCATCACCCTTTCATTTTGTCTCACTTTCTCTCTCTCATATACACATTCTCATCATCCTTTTCTCGCGCTTATTGGACACATTTACCGCATTGTACCGCAACCGTGCACCGCACATAACAACCCCTTCTACTCTTTTACTCTCTCTCTCTCTCTCTCTCTCTTTCTCTCTCATCCTGCAAACATTCGTAACCGCGAGAATTTTATACGAATAGCTGGCTGACCTGCCTTATCCAGAAGCCACATTAGAGTTTCTCTCCTATGTTTCATGCAGTTTAAACTGCTGACCTTTTGTACAAGAAAAATGTATAATTTTCTATCATCAGGAATTATCTTTTCAAAGAATTTTCGAAGATGTTAAAATAATATTATATTTGATTGGTTATTTTCGTTGAGTACTTTTTACAAAAGGATCATTAATTTTAATGAAATTTTCATGACTTGTGGTACCTTTTTTTTATCAACGTAATATTCTTCATTGATTAAAATGTAATCGTTATAAACTGTTACGAAGAAAATTCTAAATAATTCCCATAAATGATAATATTTCATTATTATGAAAATGTATTATCTTTCGAAGTAAAATGCGTAATAGATAAATTACGGGGGTCTTTATGAATTTGCCGTTCGCTAAATTTGGATTGAAGTTCAAAACACTAACAGAGATAAGGAGAAAGGTTGGTAGGAGGGGACGAGTTAGGGGGAGGGGGGAAGGGTGACGAAGGGAAAGGATAGGAAAAGGGATGGGAAAGAGATTAAGAGAGTATTTCGACTTCGTTTCTCGTTGAGAATAGAGCTTATTCCTACACAATTTCCTGTCGTCCTCGTTGTGAAACTAAAGGGAAACTTCACGGTCCTCCTATAAATCCAACCAACTTAGATTTTGAATTTCGCGACATTTAATGCACCGAGCTTCCACGGAGTTTATTAGGCTTCGAACTTAACTTTGAATTGTTAATTGTGTGTATGTGTTGCGTCTATGTGTATATTTCTCGGGCCATTCAATTATTTTTCCTTCATCTTTTCGTTTTTTATTTTCAAGTATGCTTCTTCCATCTTTCAAAATACGTATGTAAACTCGTTGGAATCTTTGCTCGCTAGGGAAAACAGGGGAAAATTCTATTTGCTGTTAAGAAGATAAAAAAGAAGTAGTTTTCCTTTGATCATGATATACAACACGAGACAGACAGAGTGGAGAGAGAGAAAGAGAGGTAGAGACGACCTTCCAAAAGGTACCTTGATCACGAGAAATAATATAAAAAAAGAAAATAAAATAGAAAAGCTCAAAGAAATCAAATGAAAAAGTATTAATATAGGAATTCGATATTACAAACAACATACTATTATTATTATTATTATTATTATTATTATTATTATTATTATTATTATTATTATTATTATTATTATTATTATTATTATTATATTGAATCTTATTCTTTCGATAAGACAACACAAAGCGGAACGTAATAACGAGACAAAGGACCTTACTAGGAATAAAATCTACAATTTTATCGTCGCACAAAAGTACGAGTAGAAGGAAGAATATAGAGAAGAATAAAAAATAAAATAAAATAAATAAAGAAAGAAAAGAGACGCACAAGAATAAATCAAAAGGTAAAAAGGGATAGAGAGAAATGAAAAGAGAAGAAAGAAAAAAAAGGAAATTAGAGATCCGAGAAACGAAATAAATGAATTTTCATCGCGACAGTCGAAAAAGAGACAGGCAACTCCCCACCTACTTTAACCCTCGCAACATTGTTCGAAGGCCGTAGGCAATTAGTGACACTCGTACTCTCTTAATGACATTCCCACGTCGATCCAACGCTCGCCTTGGTTTTATCCATTTATCCGGTCCGCGTTCCAACAGTTCTTCGAGAAAGCAGAACGTCCGATATTCACCTTCTCTCAGAGAGACCTCTTTCCTTTTCAACCACCCCTTTCTCCCCCCCCCCCTCAATCTCCTCGTATTCTTTCACTCAACTTTAGCTTCCTATCTCTTTCTTTCAGCATCATCGTTTTATATTCGCAAAAATTTAATTTCAAGCATTACCCCTCAACTACTACTTCACTATTTCTTCTTGAAAAAGTACGTGTGTGTGTGTGTGTGTGTGTGTGCGTTTGATCAAGAAAGAAAGAACAAATCAATGGATATTGAGCATTAAAGCGCATCCTTATAACAAATTCGATACCTTCGGATATTTTATTGATAT